AGTGAATTCGGACTTGTGGTAAAAGAGGAAAAAAACTAAATATATATTGGTTTCTAAAAACCCTCGAAATATCCAACAGAGAATTCAAATTAACAACCATACCTTTGAGCAAGTCAAAGAATTTAAATATCTTGGATCGCTAGTAAACGCAACAAACACGACAAGCGACGAAATAAAAAGACACATAGCAATAGCAAACAGAACTGTTAACGGTCTTCAGAAACATTTAAAAAATAAAAATATAAAACGTGCAGCAAAGCTTAATGTATATAAGACCTTAATAAGACCGGTTTTATTATACGGGGTTGAAACGTGGATCTTATCGCAAAATGATAAAAGACTTCTTGGAATTTTTGAGAGAAAAATTCTTAGAAATATTTTTGGGGCCGTAAATGAAAATGGGCTATGGCGTCGAAGATATAACTGACTTAGATGGGCTGGACACATTGCTAGGATATCAGATCACAAATACACGAAAAGATTAACATTTTTAAGACCAGAGGGCACAAGAAGCAGATGACGACGAAGAATGTGGAATGTGGATTGACGATGTGGAAAAATATCTACAGATTCTAAGGCTTAGAAGATGGAGGGAAATTTCCAGGAATCGACAGGAGTGGCCACTTCTTTGTGAGAAGGTCAGGATCTACAACGGATTGTCGAGCTACTTACGATGACGATGAAATAATGAGAGAGTTCTGTACAGATGAAAATCTAATTTTAGCAAATAAGAAAACATCTATGTGGTCAACCACAAGTATTAAATAAGTACTAAAACAATATAATACAAGTACTATGGTAGAACTTTCGTAAGGATCACCATACTATAACTTATAATTTATTTTATTATTTTGTAACATCAAAAAATATATTAATCTAGCACAAAAATATTTGTAGTCTGATCCAATATGACCTACGCTATTAGTTTTAAGAATTTAATATCGAAAATACAATTTTATAAACAAAAATAGTTTGTCATACAATTATTATAGAATTATTATTGTTGCACGTCGAAAATTTTTAAACTTACTTTTTATTTATTTAAAATAACTTTTATAATAATAATGTATCAGGTTTTTTATTGATTTTATGATAATTAAGAAATGCAAGCTGTTTCTCCGCGGTTTTCTTAAGGTACATTCTTAACAGGGTTTCTTGTTTAATCAGCGAGTGACGGGAATAACAAGAGATTATTTGTATGTTCGCTCACGTATTGCCCTTCATAATGTATCTCGAAGTATTAAGTTAATTTTTTATATATTTTTGGACTTCAATTCAAATTTCTATTGTCCTTTTTCATCGTCTACATATTTTTAACCACCTACATTCATCACCATTATCATCCAGCCTTCTGCGTCCAAAGTTTAACATCGGCCTTTCCTAATTTCTTCTATATCTCTCGGTCTAGAGCTTTCTGCAGCCAATGCCAGCGATTCGTTTGACGTCGTCTGGGCATGTGTATGTGGTCCACCTTTGCTTTGTCGTCTACTCGTAGTCTCTACACTGTAATTTTTGGGTCCACCGCCCGTCATTAATTCTGCCCAAATGGCTTTTTCAGTTTTAATTTAACCAGGCTATGCTTTGTCTGCCTGTCCTTCTTCTTATTTCTTCATTTCTAACGCACTTATATTTATGAACTAGTTCTATTTCGTTGCAGTCGATTTTTTGATAATTTCGCTTGATACCTGATTTGTCATGCATTGTGTTTCCAAAATTTATGTTCAAGCCAACTTCATTACAGGCGGTATTTGACTCAGTAAGCATAGATCCAATCTCTACAAGTTGTCTGTTACTAGAATAACATTGATTCCTTTAGTTTCCCTATCCAATACTTTGATAGCATATTCCAGAACTGATTTTAAGAGTTGGGGAGACAACGTGTATTCTTGTCTGATTCCTTTTAATTTTTATAGATTTTGTATCTTTTTGTAGTCATACAGTTATGGTTGCATTATTGTTTATATTCGCGATTAGTTTGGAATACCGATTATCTAAGCAACTTTCCTTCAACGCTTTTATTAATCTGTTAATTTCTATCGTAACAAATGCTGAGCGAAAGTCTATGAAAGCCATGACGAATGGTCGGTTGTAGTCGATGGATTTTTCCATAATCCCTTTTATGTAGTAAAAGAAGTTGTTGGATTTTCCTAAAACCATGTTCCCTAAGTTGGTAAAAATTAATTTTGTTTCCAGTATATTTGTTACTATTCTTGATAATTTGTGGAGGTGGTTTAACAGGCTTATATATCCGTAATTCTCGTCTGTTGGTCTGTTGAGTCGCCCTTTTTTGTAATTGAATGGTAAGTGCACTGTGTCATCTTATAGGTGTTTCACTTTGGTGCACACAGAAGTTAAATAATTTCTTTATATTCTTTCAAAGTCTGTCTCCTCCAATCTTCTACAACGATAATATCCTCTTGTGGGGTTTTATTTATTTTAATTTTCTTCAATATTTTTAACTTAATCTTTAATCTTTTTCCTAAATGTTTTAACTTGTCTGTTAGTAGCTCATCATGGTTTTTTTGACTTCTGTATAATTCTGTATATAAATCTGATATTTCGATCTAGTGTAACTGACTGACTGACGCAAAGAACTACCTGCATTTATTTCTAATGTACCGGGTTTATCGACCACGTGACATTAACATTGGTCATTTAGATCAAGTGGTCGATAAACCGAGCCCATTAGAAAGAGATGTAGGGACTGCTTTGTGTCAGTTTTCTGTCGCACTGGGGAACGGCATGTATAGCAACAGTAAGTCTATTTGTATTATATGTCTATAACACTTATGCACATGGACATATACATATATATTATAGATATACACATCGTTTTTCGACTTTATTTTTTTTTTTTCGAAATTTTTTAATAATCTTTTTCAGAGCGATTTTCGGAGTGGAAATCAAAACGTCAAATTTTTTAAGTAAAATTTAATTGTTACTACAACCGATTGCGACTTATTCCCATATAAACATAGTATTTTAACCTGTTTTCTTATGTTAGTATTGTAATCGTTTTAAAAGTTTAAAAAATTTATTATTATAATTCCTAGTACATATTCAAATCGATGTTGCTCACTTCATCTATTCGCCGAGTGCATTTAAATTACCCCAAGGACCCTACTGTAGTTCCTAATATCTCTGACGTTCGTCTTAAAATCAGAGCATTCGTTAAATTCGCGAAATTTATCTCCCGCCGTCTTTTTCTCTTTGAACGTCCAACAGCCAGAACGAAAATTTTGTTTTAGTGGTCTCTTGGCGAAATAAGCAAAAAAATTTCATTTCTCCTATATATTTTTAAAGAAATATTTATTTTAAACCCTTACCGAGAGCCCTAATAGTTGCTAGAACTATGTTTATGAGCCCAAGGCTATCTAAATAGCTATGGATTTATGGTACGTGTTCTGAAACTATCAATTCGTTTAAAAAATATCCCGTTTGCTTAACCGCACAATTCTATATATATTTATGGTGGATATTATGTTCTTGATGGATAGATCTAATGTTTCTGCAAGCCAAGTACCTAGAGGGTAAAAAAATTATACCCTTTCTACACGTCACACTGACATTTCAATAATTCATGTTTTATAATTTCATGAATCTATTTTATATTTATATTTTTTTTATTGAACAGTAAAGATGATCTATAAACTCAATAACAGTGAAGTGATTTATTATTGATCTTTAAATACAATGAATTTCTACATTATTCCTAGTAAACAAATGTATTTTTTGTGTAAACGAATTTCGAATTTTGGGATAAAATATTATTTTATTTTCATAAAAATATTTCTCATTTCTAACCCAATGCCAAGATATAAATGTTTGTTTTCTTACGATACAATTTTAATTTTAGTTTCATATAGGAACTTCTCCGGTGTAATTCAATACCGTAAACACAAATTGTTTATTTCTTTGCTGGGATGACGTAACTTTTTAACGTTAAATATTTTAACAACTTTTTGTTCCTTACAAAATAATAAAAATTAATTTGTTTTAAATTTTTCATTGTATTTCTTTGAGCTCGTTTCCTTATAGGATAAACTATTAAGGAATGGCGCCCATTTCATTTTAATTTTAAAGATAAGACAAATAGCTTTCATATGATTTTTGAAAGAATTGCACCCAAATTCTCAGACTCGAGCCGAAGGGCCTAGTTTGTTTGTATACTTAAGTAAATAGTTTCATCAGGTTACAATATACATAAGACAATCTGTTTCGTCTGTTTATTTTCGTCGCTCCCAAGATCACACCTGAAATTTGCACTGGTCTTATCATTTGAATGTTAGCCCTAGTACTTTAAATGCTGTCTTATCTTATGCCAAAGCTGCTCTAGATTTGTTACAACACATACTAGTTTGGGACCTATTTACATCTGCTTCAGACCTATTTTCGATCTGTTCTTAATCGATATAGAATACGATTTAAGTTTTGAACAGATTAGAGGTTCAATCTCTATTGGGGAACCACTAGGTTGACTAAAGAAAATGGTTTAATATTTTCTTAACTTATTAAAGAGCATTTATATTAAGTTTTCATGAAAGAAGACATGCAGACGGTTTGAAACCATAATATTTATTAAAGACAAAATGTTTAAGACAATTAACTTTGTTTTTGTTGTGTAAAAATATTAATGTATTAGTACTTTTGTATTTTTGTCTTAAACTTGGTTAAAAATATTTGGTCGTCTCGCGACTTTTTAAGTTCTTTTTTCTTCTATCTTGAAACGAATTTATTTATTTAGTTAAGCTTTTTTATTATAACAACATGCAACAATAATATATAACTACTTCCTTTGTATGAATTTATATAAACGACCTATATATTTTAATAGTATCACAATAAATTTGCCTCAATATAACAAATATACAACGAATCTTTATGTAAAATACTTTAGATATAATTACAAAGTTGGAAAAAACGACAAAAATATATGTAAAGTGTAGAAGTAAACTTATCCCCAATAATAAAAGTTGTTAAAATTGCAAAATCAAGTTATTTTACTCTAAAACATCTTCAGTTAAATTATGCCATTGCTCGTGTCTGTGATCCGGATACCTAATCATATCCATCCAGTGCTTTAATCTCAGACCTGTAATAAGGGAACAAATAAGAAATCAGAGCGAAAAGATATTCATAATATAAGAAACCGACCCCAAACTGGTAAAAATATTTCTCGCTTTCGTTCGATTTATAATTTCATGAATATGTTTTTTTTTATTATATTAATAAGATATCAAAAAAAATTTTGTGAAATCTGTCAAGAATATCTAATTTTTAGCGAAATTTCGGACCACAAAATATGTAATTCCTTAATACTAGTCTGTTGTTACAAAATTTCAGAAAACACTACGGGAATGTTTATGTTTTCTCGAGGATGTTTTATTTAATGAATCTGATCAATTGCTGATGTTTCTGGAGTGAATCCGGCGTGCTATTTTCATATAATGCCCACTGTGTAAATTTGTAGCCCTTTTTAGGGAATATTTTCCATTTTATAAGCAGTTGTTAACAGGGTTATACCTCTGTAGTTGTCACACTGGAGCTGGTCGCCTTTTTTATGTAATGGGTATATCACGCCTTGAGGCCATTCACAGGACATAATCTCATTTTGCCAGACAAGAAGTAAAAGTTTATGCAGTGTCTATAGCAGGGCGTCATCACCATTCTTCTAGAGGTCACTGTAAGTTTGACCAATTTTTAAACTTTTTAATGGATTGTTAATGGATTAATAAAATGTTATACCCACTCTATTTTTGTTTTGTGTGCCAAAGCTTGTGTTGTTTAATGTTCATTTAATGAGAAGCTTTTGAGATAAGCTGGAAAGTTTTGAGATAAGGCTTTTTAGGATAATTTTGAAAATACCATGGTCCGATCATATTACGAAGTGAATTGTGTTGTACATAATGGTTAGGGATAGAGAACCTTTCTTCTTCTTCTTAAAGTGCCATTCTACGCCTCCCTATGCTTCTTTCCTTGTATCTTTCCCTGCATGTTCAACTGGAACCGGATGTATTTCAGAGAACCTTTGTCCATTATTAAAAGAAAAAAGAAAGCATATTTGGAGCACTTGCTTTGAAATCATGAACAACAGTTATTGCAGCTGATTATTAAGGATAAAATAAAAAATAAACGATAAATATCCTGGAAAACATTCCACGCGACATGATTGGGCTAAACGCACAGACAATTTTACGAAAAGAAGAAGATAGAAAGAATTTTGCAATAGTTATAGGCAACGTTCATTAGCAAAGTCAGCACTAGAAAAAGAAGAAAAGTGTTATTGGGTTCTTGGATATAATTTGCTACCTAACTGTTTTTCGTCAAAATGCTTCTTTTTTCTTCAATTTAATCTTTGTTTTCTCTCTTTAGAGTCCAATATTGCTCCTTTGCCCTTTATGTACATCCTGTTTGATTTGTCCTTAGGTAAGCCCTATATTTGTAATCAGTTGCTTCTTGAGCGGAAATGGGAACACCCCACTACTTAATTCAACTAATTAGAAGTCTATATGAAAATAATAAGTGCACAGTAAAAATAAACAAGACCCATTCCGATCATGTCAGAACAGAGGCAGGTGTCAGGCAGGGATGCATAATCTCGCCAACTCTGTTTAATATCTACAGCGAACACATTATGCGAAAGGTACTAGACGGATGGAAGGGCGGAATATCAGTAGGAGGTCAAAAAATCAATAACTTAAGATATGCTGATGACACTTTAATAATCGCGTCAAATCAGGAAGAAATGGAAGACATAATGAGATGTTTGGAGGAAAAAAGCAAAACATATGGACTAAAGCTAAATACGAGTAAGACAAAGATCATGATAGTAGACAGAGCTCGGAATAATCTTCAACACATTAAAGAGATTGGAGGCTTTGAAGTAGTAAACACTTTCATATACCTGGGGCCCCTAATAACAAATGACGGAGGGTGTGACAGAGAAATAAGTAGAAGGTTGACTATTGCTAGAACTGGACGCTTTTAATAATATAATGGATTGATCATCGCACTAAACGTATCGATACTAGAAAAACTTAAAGTAAAGGATAGATTGCTTAAACAAATACAACAGAGATATTTGCAGTATTTTGGACACATTGCTAGAAGACCAGGCACGATAGAAAAACTGATAGTCGAGGGTAGAGTTGAAGGAAAAAGACATAGGGGTAGATCTCCAAGCCGTTGGGTAGATGAAACAAAAACATTAATTAACCAAGAGTTACATGAAGCCGAGCAACTAGCCTAAGACAGAGAAGGCTGTGAAGGCCTGATGGTGTCACCACATCCCAAAAGAGATTCAAAAGAGATTAGGACTAAGGAGGAGGCTTCTTGAAATTTCTTGGCAAACTATTCCCATTTTTGATGTGTGAATTCGTAGTTTTATTGCTCTATAGTTTGTGCCTTTTTATATATTCTCTCTTACTTTTGCAAACAGGTACTAATATACTGCTTCTCTATTCGTATAGTATTTATCCCACTCCGAGTGAAAAAATAATAATCAATCTGACGTGCCAATTTGAAAAAAGAGGTAGGAAAAATAAGAAGAACAAGTTATATTGGACTTTTCGATATATCAACTCTATCTAAAATATATCATAATTTTTTACAATTTTTTTTTTAGATAAAAAACAAATTCCATAAAAAAGTTGTTATAAAATCTCGAATTGATTCTATACATACAAATTAACTGGATTTTTACTTGTATTTTAACTTAAAAATAACATACACACTTACCTTTGGATCCCGTTCCCCCTAAAATTAGACCTCCCAAGTAGTCGTTGCTTTTTCCGTAATCCTTGTCGTACACTGTGATGTATAAACTTTGTGTACTAAGTTCGGTGGGTCTGGTTTCAAACGCGAATTCTTCATTGAAAACTGGATTCAAGTTTTTCCATTTTATAGAAGTTTTATGTTTCTTATGATTGGGATCGGGTTTAAGTTGTCTATAAAGAAAAAAAGACCTTTTAAAAAGTACACTTGACGTTTTAGAATAATGTATTGATGTAATTCCAGACAACAAATTATGGTTTATTGTTTTTTTCATAATTAATAGGTAAGAATTAACAAAATATCTAATGAGATACACGATTTAATATACTAAGAATAGAATATATTGATATTGGTACATGTAGCCGATCAACAGTGGCGTAGCTAGCCCCACAGGCGCCTCTATCAAAGTTTGACGCGGGGCCCTTTTTCATGACTTCTTGGGGATAGTGTTAATAAATGTTTAGTAAAAGGAGCAAAAACGCTTGTACTAACAAAAAAATCAAACACCATGTAACAAAAGGGGCCACAATGTGAAGGTTCATGCAATTCCTGAAGAAAACAATATTTTAATAAGGCAACATGTTGAATCATTTTCTCTTAAACATACACATTACTCTGATAAACCTATGTCATATCTAGATGCACGATTGAACGTCAAGCTTATGCATCAGCTTTTAAAGAAAAATACCCAGATTCCTGTATAAATATAAAAAAAGTCATTCAACAATTCAAAGTATTTTACAAAATTTTGAAAATACTGGGACCGTGATTTCTAATTGTACCTGTACAAACAATATTGCTGAGGTACCAAGAAATTTAGAAAATCAAAATGAAATAAATGTATTATCAGCAGTTGTAGAAAATACTAGAATAAGTTTTCGAACCATTGCAGACCAGTTTTATATTTCATCATTACACGGCTTTAAAAATTTTGAAAAGGAATAAATTCCATTCATATAAATTTCAATGTCATCACAACTAAGAGAATGTGATGCTGAGCGATGAGCAGAATTTTTTTTATGAAATATTTGAGAGAGCTAATGCAGACAGACAATTTTTAAAAAACATTTTGTTTAGTGATGAATGTACATTTACATTAAATAATGAACCAAATTTCAAAATTATAGGATTTGGTCGACAAGAAAGCTGACGATATTATTGAAAGCCATACCTAATATCGTCAAAAAATAAATATCTGGTTAGGAATATTTAGACACAATATTATTGGATTATTTGTCTATGAGGAAAATTTAAATTCAAAAAAGTTTTTAGACTTGCTGCAAGAAGAGATTTTACCCAGAATTGCAGAAATAGCTCCAGATGAAGGAGAAATTTGGTTTCAAATGGATGGTTGCCTGCGTACAATAACTGTGAGGTTAAGGAATTCCTTAAAAACAGCTTTAATAATTGTTTGATTAGACTTGACTGTAATATTAAGTGACCCCGAGATCGGGAGATCTACCTCAAACGATTATTTTATCTGGGGGCATCTAAAATCAAAAATTATTCTGACCAAAAATTTTCAGATATTGAAGCATTAAAAATCGCAAATTATTGAAGAGTGTGCAAAAATAACGCCACGCTTCTGCTAATGTTTTGTACGAGAATTTTACAATCGAATGGGATATTGATTAGTACAAAATGGCTTATTGTTTGAACATTTGTTATAGTTTTATGTTGGAATTATCATAAATTATTTTTAGGAAGGATCACAGTAAAACTATATTGAAATTCTTTGAATTGTTGTATAACCTGGAATTGAATTGGAGTGTATTGATATTTTGTGTTAAATAAAGATCTGGCAGTGCTCGCACTATTGCCTGAATACAACATTATTGCGATTTTTCGTGAACTGAGTATATTTCATCAACTTTATTTCTTTGTAAACAATATAATTTATTGTTTACAAAGTACTATTTATTGTTCACTAGTAGTAGTAGTATTTGTGAAAATTTGCGTATTTTAGTATTTATGTATAATTTAATCATAAAATAAAAATATTGACAATTCAAATATTGTCAAATATCAAAATCATCAATATGACCAAACGCAACATGTCATACACATTCTTGTACGTGATGTGACCTGACTTTATGGAGTGGCCTGAAAAATGTATTATATTTTTACAAAATTTAGGAATACATTTAATATGTAGAAAAATTTTAACATTTGTTTTTAATGCATATCTCAGTCCTCTACAAATAGGACTTTTGATGTAAAATAATTGTTGAAGCAGGAATTCAACAATTTAAAATTTCCTATTGACTTTCTACCACCCATTTGGCGATTCACCACCCGGTATATTGACCCTGAAGTACGATTCTGGGTTTGAAATTCTCTGATAATTAAAAAAAATCGCTTTCTTACTTTTTGTCTTTTATTTTTAAAAATAGTTGTTTTCAGCTTATTTAAAATATTAGGTACTTGGTAGAATACCAGCTTTCGCTAAATCATTGTTTTCATGCTGTAGACTGTAGAGCTTTAAAAACAGGAAAACAAGCATTATAAAATCGTAATTTTTTAAAACAGTTATTATATTTTTGCATTCGTCACGTTCGTCTTTTTTAGTAGAAATTAAATTTGTGTCATACAGAGTTGTTATTATCAGTAATTTTTTCTATTATTGGATTTTTAATGTGACCTTTTTTAATTTTTTAGAACTTCTGTCTTACTATGCAGTACAGAAGAATCTAAAGTTAAATAAAATTCAATTTATAATAAAATATTCTTCTTTTTTTTTTTCATAGTTGCTTTTTACGGTACTATAATGTGCCCAAGCCCTCCATAAGTTACAAACGACACTGGATGTGAATTGTTACACTAGTAGATAGAAACCTATTACTTACCATTGCATTCTTAATCAATTTGGGAATCTGATTGATAAAAAATAAAGAAATTTTGAACATCTTTCCAAAACTTTTTTTTTGTTTTCATTTTTCTTATCATAGCTCCACGGAGGTACTCTCTTTTTCTTTTACTAATTTTTATCACAACTTTCAGAATACACAATATATTCAGAATTTAAACGTTCTGAATCGACTGCACAAATTGAAATGGAATCTAATAAACCAAAGTCGAAATATAGATTTGAATTGTTGAGAATCAGGTAGAAAACTGAAAGGAAACTAAAGAAAAATCCGCTAATGACTTGGGTTAAAAGGGCTGTTTGGTATAATACAGTTAATAATAGAGTTAACCCCTTATCGCATAGTAGGTCATATATGGCACAATACTTAGTTTTATACCTAACCGTTAGAGATCGAATCTTATTTTAAAGTATTTATGCATGACTTGTCCTTATAGAGATTATATGTCGTGTAACCGGTAATAAAGCGTCATCTCAATGCAGCAAACTAAACTTTTATGAAAATTTGCAAATGGCTACGGTCTGACAGCTATTCATAAGAATTGTACAATTTGATATTTAATTATCGAAGTTTCTAATGGATATTTGTGTACAAAAAATAGCGACATCAAGGATAGACATTTAAGAAAGAATTTCTGTAAGTTTTTTCACGTATTTTTTATATTTTGGTATTTTTTTTCAAAAGTATGCTTGTGCCATATATGCCACAATATGACTCCAGAGTCAGACTATGAAGGTGATTTAATAGCAGTTCGGACAGCGATGATGATATTTCTTTGGACGAATTTCGACGTAATCTAATAAAGAATAGAAATAAATATCATCCAACTTGAAAAGAAGGAAATTTGGTAACATCAAATAGTGATATAAGATTTCTCGGTTCTACTGATCTGCCACCTGAGTTGCAACAAGCGGATTCCTCTTACGTATTTTTTAATATTTTTTTACAAATTCTTTTTTTTTTTCGTCTTTATAGAGGGGGGTCTGGAATCTTCAAAAGATATTTCAGTCCAGGATGCCGTTTGACTAACCTTAGTGCAGGATTCGTTCTTCGTACTCCCGGCGATAATTCCCGAGGTATTTTAAAATGCTTTCTTTGTCATCCAGCGTTTCGGAAGCGAATGGCCGCTGTAAGGTCGGCATCACTTCCGAAGCACTACCTTTATTCATTTATTCTCCATTCATACACATCCAACACTCTATTCATCAGCAAGGAGGCTCCCTGCCTCGTTCCAGATAGCGCGTAGAAGACACTCATCGCTCCTAGTTCGGCATCATTCTCAGACGGGCATTTCCTCCTTCCTCACAGTCTGACCCACGCATTCTAACTCATACAGAGTGACCCACTTTTCTAGCTTCACCTTTCAGCATTATTCACTCTTACCTTTGCCGTTGGTCCAGCTATCTTTCTTCCTCTTTCTTTTTCTTGATCACTGCACGGATATAGCTGTGTATGTTAGTCCAACTTAATTTATTTTCAATCATTATCTCAATAATTTCTCTCACTGTAACAAAATTTACTCCTGTCTCTATCTCCATTCTGTTCCTTTCCACTATCCATCTGCTGCAATCTAACATCGTATGTGTCACAGTGTCCCAGTCCAAGTATCCACAGTATGTCCGAGTATACATTCTTCTGTATCAGCCTTTCCGATCCTATAAAGCAGTGGTTCTCAACCGGTGTTCCGCAGAACACTGGTCTTCCGCGAATTCCTTCCAAGTGTTCCGCGAAATACTCGCAATCCTACATACCATTTTGCTAAATTACTCTTTTCGAATTAATATTTTCAAATTTTAAAATAGCCACTTACGTACATTTTAATTTAATAAAATTCTGCAGCGTAAATGTTCATTTGCCCAACGTGACAACACCGCGTCGGCACAGTGCACACGTTGGATTTTATAAGCGCTGAGCGCTGAGCTCCGCAGTGGCCACAGCCAATCTGAGTCACCCACGCCACAGTCTGCAACTGAATGTTGAATTTGTTACATTGCACAAACGTAATTTGTGAAAATCGCTGTGTCAGTTTTTTTATGATAACGTTTACGTACGGCTTATCTATCAAAGGTAAGTAATTGCATATTTTATACAAAATGTGAAGCATTCATCCGCATTATTTTGTTTAGAGACGAATAAATTAAAATGGATAAGTTCCTCAAACTTAAAAGAAAAGCTACTGTGGAACAACTCATAATTCATGATGATGAAGCGAGCACCAGCGGAGATACTGGAACTTTACGAAGTGGGGTTGATGACAAATCGAAGCGCAGCAAAAAAATGTTGAACCGGCAATATTTGGATGAATA